CAAGTGAATAGTACATGTCTATTTTCACCTGTCCTATCAAATGAATGCATAAAAAGCCCAAATATATCTTTAAAAACCTTTTTTTTTCTCCTGCAGCACTGTATCGCATGCTGTAATAATCTAGTATAGAAAGACATTTTCCATTATATCAGTTCAAAGAGAGTAAACAATGGTTCTAGGCGGTAACATTAAAAGTAAACTATTAATTGCTAACATTAATGACAAACAATTCTTTAAAAAGGTAGGGTACCTTGAAGCGGACAACATAGGCAGCTATGAGCACCCCGACACTCTGGAGGAGGTCTCCCAAAGCGTGGATAAAGGCAGCTCTTACAGCCAGGCTGCCGTGCTGCCTCTGCGCCGGACCGGACCCACCTGACTGTGAACTTGAGACAGCTGCAGGGCCGTGAGAGTGACCATGGCCGTGAGAGTGGAGGTGACCACCTTGGTTTAACAAGAAACCCATTCTAAAAAAGACACAAGAAAGCAAAGACAGAGGGATTTATTTTAGGATGTTTTGATATATGTATATATTCATATGATGATTTAACTGACTTAAACTGAGGTCAGTAAGTCTTCATTTATTCACCTACTAAATGTGGTCAAACATTACACACAGAGTCAGCAACTTAAAGCTGTGAAAAGCATTTTAGACAGTACTTTGGACTGAGCGGTTAATTTTTTGCTGATATTGTCCTCACAGGCATGCACTCCCCACTGTCAGGTCTCCACACTTCAGCTCTTATCTTGTAAAAGCCTCCCAGTTTGCTATAAAACATACATTCAGGTGTGAGCGCTTCACTTACATGAGGTTGACAGCCACCCCCACTGCTGCAGTGATGAGCATGACATCTCCATCTATGTCGAACTCTTGGTGTACCGTCCTCTGAACCGCCTCGTAAAGCAGTATGGCCGTAAGAATGTAGATGAGCACCACACTGAGGACTGCCGATACCACCTCTGGACCAGGAAATCACCATCAGTTGTGTAAACAAAACATATTTATGGTATAAAACTGTGGGAAAAACCTGATTTCAACAGGTAGGTCAAGACAGAAAGAATGTGCCTAAATACCTAAGAAGCTTAGCTTAACAGTAGGGGGCAAATACTGCTTATAAATATCTACTGGTGTAGGAAAATATATTAAAATAATGCCAAATATATTAAATTAGATTTGATTAAAGAATCTAATGTAACCATTTAAATGATAGAATCTATTAAAACATAATAATTACTATCCATGCTTGTAAGGCATCAGACTTTAGATATACTAAAAATGGACTAAAATCACTTGTTCAGCCTCAAGCAATGCATCTGAGTTCAATTCTGCTACATGCTGTTTGTGATGAAATATATTTTGTATTTATGGCTCCTACAGGGATCAAGTGTAAATCTCCATTTATATAAATTATATTGTCTTTCATGTGTGTCAAATTCCATTTAATTGGACAATACTGTTAATCACTGTGTTGGCGATAATCCACTGGAATTCCACTTTAATAAACGGAAAGATGTCTTTATTAATTTCAACACAGTCTTCAATAAAAAAATAAAACTAAATGCTATTCTCAAGCTCCAGAGGTGTTGCTTTCTGTAACTTCAAGACTGTTCTCAATCAGTGTCTTTGACAGTAGCCTACTGCTTTAAATGAGCCAAAATCTCAAAGTTTACTGTCTATTATTCTGTTCTATTCATGACCGTGTCTGTTCCAGGTGTTATGTATTTCTTTATCTATTGTAACTGTTCTGCTCTGTATAAATAAGGGTCAATTACATAACACTTGTTTTTCTTCAGGCAATTGGTGTGACAGTCAGCTTGTTACAGGGAAGCTCTGAAGGATCCAACTGTTGTTGATGTTGATGTTTCACAAGGTTGTAAATAAATAAATGTAACTTTTGTCTACATTTGAGTTTAAGTAATTGGTGCTTATCTCCTTGAGTTATAGCAGGCATTTGACTTGGCAACAGTGTAAGGCATAATAAAAAACAGCTACTAACAGCGCAGCATTTTGTACACATCAAGATCTGCACCAAACACCAGTTACACTGTACAGCCGGTACTATACTTTCCACTTCCACTAGTTCAAGAGGGTCTGAGTCATCAGACAGTGTACACGTCCGCTCTGTGAGGACATCCGCGTATTGTTAATCCGTCGTAACTACAAAGACTTTCTGTGTGTGATGTCATTTTATGCATCCATATGGGAGTAAACATTTCCAGGCCTTAAGAGTAACTAACTAATTCCACTGGTGGATTCTAGATGCAATTATGTTGTAGTGAAATGATAAACATCTATATATTAGTGACAGCCAGCAGCCACGGGGTCTAAATTGAACAGTTACTGGCAGATTATAATTTCAATAAACTGCATCTCTAACGATAACTGAATCTAAAGTATCATATCTGGAATCTGATCAAGCTTAAATACTGCTGAACACACAGTTTCTCTACTCAATTCATCTGCAACAAAGTCACGTGTGCTGTTTCCGTTGGCCTCACACAAGACAAAGGGAGGGGAGAGAAAGAGGTAGTGAAAAAAAGGAAATGCCAAGGCTTCTGAAATCAGAGACTTACCGAGGCGATGCAGTCCGAAGGTATATCTCTTTGTGGGTGGCTTGGTGGAGAGCCACAGGGCCAGTAGAGAAAACAAAATGCCCACCACATCTGCTAGCATGTGCACAGCGTCAGTCATAATGGCTAAGCTGTTTGACACATAACCACCTGAAAGTAGAAGACAATGTGAACAATTTGCTGAGATTTATCTAAGCTATTTGTGCATGCACAGATTTTGAGATACAAAAAACAAGTTTGGCAGACATAAATCCACAGCAAAGTACATAGTTAGATGTCTAGATATGATGTCAACTCAAGTTTGTCTGAGTCAGTACCCTGGAGGTTTTCTTTTAGGTAATTCACTTGGTAAATAATAATCAAATAATGAAAACAGTGACATAAAATAGTATAGGATCCAATGTGCCCCTAGGAACTGCCCCACACTGTCAATGAAAACCTAAATAAGAAGCTATGTTGCAGTCACCACTTTTTCATTAGAGAACACCAGGTCATAAAGAGGACAAAGGCCCTCATTGTGGAAAAAAAAACAAGGTTGGAAAGGTTGAAATGTGTCTAGCACATGTCAACCTAATTGTTTTAAACTGACCAGTATATAACATGGTCAAGTTTTTTGTTTTTTTTGGTAAAATAATTTCTAACCAGAGAATATATTATCCAAAAACAATAATGACACTTAATGTCATACTTTATGATGATAAATCACTCATTTAAAAAAAGGTTCAGCTAAAGCAAGTCATCAGGACAGGCTTTTAGAGTTACTATCGGCATTCCTCTGTAGTGTTTAACTAAACAGCCAGACAAACACATCTTAGGAGCCTTACAGGGATTCGGCTTCATCTTCTGACTCTGATAATTTGGTCGTAAAGTTTCCCGTGATGACAATTCACTGTGATAGAGATATTAACTCTGGGATGCTGGCTCCTTTAAGGACTGTAATGTAAACTCGTTGGGCAAACACAGATCACGAATGAACCAAAGGTTGTGGTTCCTGATGTGTGTGTATGTATGTGTGTGGTTCACAAGTAAAGAGAAGACAATAAAAAAAGGTAAAAGGGGCTTGACACTTATTAAAACGATGCAAAGAGAAAACTGTTGACTGACCAGCAGTGATGAAATAAAAACATGTAGCGTGAGGTTCATTCTGCACTTGCTTACCTATAATTTCACCCGTCATGAAAAGGAAATACAACAAAGCTGCAATGACAAGCCTCTTCATCACCCTCCTGTGTTTGATCCTCTCCCTCTTCTTGTTGCAGTTGTCACAAGGGTCCATGTTTAACCCCGGGCTGCCCAGGCTGGACAAGGACTCCAGCAGGGAGTCATCATCATCTGCCACCACCAGCGTGTTCACCGCCACTCCGTTGGACGCCGCTCCGGCAGAGTAATCGGACATCTCTCCGGACACCACGACCTTCAGCTTGTTGAATTTGGGCGTCTCATCCTCCACCAGCTCGTCTGAGAGGTCAAAGGGCGCCGTGTCGCTCAGGTCCCAGTCGCTTCTCTCCCTCCTGAAGGTGGACCGCACCTTGCTCAAGAAGTTCCCACCTGACATCTTTAATGATTATGGAGGGACAGGTATATTCAGCTAACTTCTGCCTGTAGGTTACTGCCTTCTGGGGGTAATCATTCACATTTTTGTAGCGGGGCGGGGTTGGACAATTGCATTTCTACTCTGTTTTAGCACCTGGAGGAGAGCAACAACAAGTAAGAAAGTGAGAACACATAGTACAGCTCAGCAATTTCCACTAGGGTTGCAAGATATGGCGATTATTTTTTTTTTTTTTACAGATATCACGATATGATTCGTGATTATTGTGGGAATTATCATTACATATCATGTTTTCTTTAATCTAGAACAACATTTAACAACATTTGTAGGGCCAGGGCATCTCTGCAGCATCACAATCCTTGTTTTTCTACACATTTTAGCTTTATTGAAAACACTGCAGCTCTTAGTGATCTGCATATCGCGACTTTAATCGATATTTCGATTAATTGTGCAGCGCTGACTTCAACAACTAACTTAAACCTCAACAGAGCAATTCATATCAAGTTGGTGACTTGATATGTTAAAAGCTACACGTCCTGGAGTCGCTTACATTTACACATGAGCTAATAAAACTCGAGTTTAATAGTCTTTAAAAAAAAAAAAAAAAAACCTTTTGGCTAAACAGTAAAGCTAGTAAAAGCTAGCCATCCTGTCATGTCACTTGTCACTTTAGGACAAACGGAGAACCTTTGTAGTGCCATAGTTTGTTTGAAAACACGAAGCAGACTTACCCACACGTGTAGTTTTCCGTTTCACAACCTCAGCTGCTCTCTCAGATTAAAAGCCGTCATGTTAACACAACCATAAACACACATAAACACAACAGAGTCGTAGCGCTACCGACGCACTCGGAAGTAAAACGAGCAAGTTTGGTTTCACCCGCAGTCACATGATGACGCAGGGGGGTCACATGACACGTTTTTGTTTCCCCCCCCTCACAAGACGCAGACGCAACAAAATCCACAATCTTTGCTTTGTTTTCTCTTCTGCTTTAGGTCAACATAACTCATCACACCGACAGTTACTGTGGACATACACAGTCATACAGGTGAGTGAGTTACAGTGTGTGTGTGTGTGTGTGTGTGTGTGTGTAAAGCCCCAATCAGGCTAACTAAAAACACTTCCTCAAACGTTCAGATGCTCGGTGTTGTGATCAGCTAAGTCCAAATGGATAAAACTGTGATTTTGTGTTTACTTGAGGTTATAAACAGCAGTGTGGGTCAAAGGAGTCGTTGTATATGGAGGTAGAGGAGATGGAAGATGAAGGTCCTTCGTCCCACAGTGAACTTCCACACAGTGAAGGTATGTGCTCATGCTTAGCTCTCTATAACTGTCTACACCTGTCTCACCCACTATGACCAGGCTGGCTGACCTTCAGCATAGATTAGTTGGCATTTAGACCCTCTTTACTTATAAATTGATTTCACGAAGTCGCTGCACATCGATAGAAACCTCCCTGAAGCATCAACCAATGACTGCAGCCTCTCAGACCAAAGTGTCCGAGCAGCAATAAAATATAAGATCAGATATAAGGTGGCAAGTTTCCAGGTTGCTGTTGCATACAATTTAACACTGTGCAAGAATGAATGCATCAGTTTAAGTACATGTTTGTGGATAACTTGCATGCCGGGTACAATACCATTATTGCATCCTTATTATACCGACATTGTCCAGTGATCCACATTCTTCACACGTGTTTTATAATCCTCATATCATCAAATGTCATTAAAACTGTGTATATAATGTTTTATGGTTTTGTTGGTTTGTTCTGTACATTTGACATCTGTTGCATGTTTGTCCTCTGTCGCTCTTACTGAGGTTTCTTCCATTTTTTCCCTGTTAAAAGGGTTTTTTGGGGAGTTTTTTTCCAAATTGAGGTTCTAAAGACATGTGGGTGTTTAATGTTCAGGACTGAATGTAAAACCCTCTGAGGCAAATTGTGATTTCTGGTCATATAAATAAAATTTAAAATAAATCAGATGTTGAAAGGACTGTACAATGTCTTCAGTACAGCTCTTATTTATGTCACTACCTACGCTAGATAATCTTACATCACAAGTGTCAGAATACAGGCGAAAGGTAGCCGGTGTGATTTCAGTGATACGTTTTTAGAGGTAAAGCTGTCATCAGACCATTAACTAATAATTGAAGGGACTTTGGTGATCCAATACTAAATGTGTTGTACATTTGTTCTTAAATATTTGATAGAATTCCAGTTGCCGCAACAGGAATCACCGCGTCTGGGGAGCTCAGACCCCGTAGAGAATGTGTTGGTGGATAAGAAAGCAGTGGACAAACTCACAGAAGGATTACTCTCCCACTACCTACCAGATCTACAGAACTCTAAACGAGCCCTCCAAGAGCTCACGTGAGTATCCTATTTGCTTTGTTTTTTAATTAAACCACAACCTTAATGGTCACCCGCATGTTAACACTTGATAGGTTCTGCAATATTTACTGTTTCATCCAGTCTACTTGTAGGGAAAACTGCAAAAGTGGAAAGGGGATTGGGCCAAGTTGATGCCAGTTTAATATAAAGTTGCTTTAAATTCAATTATTCTTCCTCACACGTTTCTACTAACTGGTGTGTGAACAATAAGAAGATAAAAAGGAAACATGCGTTCTTTTCCTGCACAGCAGTCGGTTACGTGATTCACACGCAAACACGTTGACCAGTTGCTTTAATGCTGGTAGTGCTGGTAGAGAGTCTGCCAGTGAAGAAGTCATGTAAAAAAAGTCTTTCACAAACATGTAAAATTCTGTTGGACACTTTTAAACATCCTGTCATTGTCTGAATTAAGTTTTGGTGCTGATTATTCAGTAAAGGTTGTTAAACATTGGTAATGTTTTGGTGAAAAAGTGCACTTGATGACATCGGTTTCTTTGTCTCAACCAGACAAAATCAGCTGGTATTGTTAGACACACTGGACCAAGAAGTCACCAAGTTCAGAGAATGTAATACCTTACTGGACCTCAATTCGCTGGTATGTTTGTGCTGAATTATGATCTAATTTATGTTATGTTGCTGTTTGTTTGTACTCCCTACAACAGCCAGCAGGAATGACCTCTAATCCAGTTTGTTGTCTTTAGTTTACAGAAGCGAAGGTTTATCACAACAAACTGGTGAACATAAGGAAAGAGATGATTATGCTCCACGAAAAGACAACTAAACTAAAGGTATTTCTCATCTCAGTCAGATTTAACATTTTTCTACCATTAATACAGTATTGGTGGATAGATGCAATAATGCATACACAGATTAAATGCTGACTGTTGTTTTCTCTCAGAAAAGAGCTTTGAAGCTGCAGCAACAGAAGCAGAAGGAGGCGCTGGAGAAGGAACAGAAACGAGAGAAGGAGCTCGAGAGAGAAAGGCAGCTTATTGCCAAACCCGCCAAAAG